GTTGTTGTTGTTGTTGTTGTTGTTTTTAAAACTTTCTCTGGAGTAAAGGCCCTCTTATTGAGTCCATAAAGCAGGGGTGTCAAACTCGATTTCATTGAGGGCCACATCAGGGTTGTGTTTGACGTCGCAGAGGGGTGTCATGGCCAGGTGGGTGTGGCCATAGTTGGCGTGGTCAGCTTGCCATCACTCATATTGACGGCACCTGTGGTGGCCTGGGCAGTGCTGGGGGGATCCACTTTTGCTAGTAGTTTGTTTTGCTAGCACTCTGCCAGTGAAAACGGAGCTTGGGGCGGGCGTGCAGCCCCCCGGCTCCATTTTCGGCTGTGACGGCCTCCTGCAGCCTTCTGCCAGCGGAAAGGGCCACCGCGCGCGGCCCTCCCAAGCTTCGTTTTTGCTGGCAGAGGCACCACGGCTCCTTCAACATTTCCAAGGTGGCCCTTTGTGCCAGATCTAATACCCCGCAGGCCGGATCCGGCCCACGGGCCTTGAGTTTGACACCCCTGCTATAAAGGAATCATTAACATATCATTAACTTCTGTAACTATGCTGCTTTTTCCCCCTGTTATATGTAATTAATCTGTCTGCACTTAATTGAAAGATTTATTAAAAGGGAGGGAGAGAGGCTGAACATTCAGATTATATTTGATTGGTTAGAAATTAAATTAAATCAGTGGATCAGGCAAGCTACTGCTAACTACAGGTAGTCTTTGACTTACTTGTTTACCAACGGATCAAAGTTACAACAGCTTTAGAAAAAATGACATATTACCTGTCCTTATTACGAGCCATCATAACACCTGTGTAATTGCCGTTTGGGGGGGTTAGCAACTGGTTTGCCTTTTAAATGGAGGCAGTATCTTGCAGTCCAGTGACTGTGATTTGTGATCTTCCCAGCTGTCTTCTGTCAAGCAGAAGTCGATTCGGGAAGCCAGATTCACTTAACAACCACCTGAGTCATGTACTGTAGGCTGCTTCTGCTGATAGCTGGCTGCCAGCAGTTCGAGTCTCACTGGCTCAAGGTTGACTCAGCCTTCCATCCTTCCAAGATGGGTAAAATGAGGACCAGATTGATGGGGGCAAGAGGCTGACTCTGTAAGACCAATTAGAGAGGCCTGTAAAGCACTGTGAAGTGATATATAAGTCTAAATGCTATTGCTATTATTTATGTAACAACTGTGGTAATATGGTCACAGAATCGGGCCTGATGATTCACTTAACAACGGTTTCACTTAGTGACTAAAATTCCAACCCCAATTGTGGCTGTAAGTCAAGGGCAGCCTGTAAGTTCAGTTTATTTCAGCGGACTTACGCTACCTGTACCCAGGTCTGGTCCAGACTATTGAAGCTTTCCTAAATCTTCTTACAGTTTAAACAGAAATATTGCTGAAATTTCACGAGGTTTGGAAATCTTATGAAATGTCACCTATTGTTAATTCATTTTTCTTGCATCCCTTGCATCTGTTGCACAATGGTACCAGTGGCATGAAAAGGTTGCAAGTGATACTTTAGAATTAGCTTTAAAATGTTTTTCTATAAATGTTAAACTCCGCTGTCAATTTTGACTGTGCAATTTTGTACAGGTAATCCAAGATTGGCAAATTGTATTCAATGTTGTTGTTTTTTGCAGTTGAACTGAAAGTTCATTCATTCCTTTGAGTGCAAAATACAGTTTCTTAACTCCCAATTCTGAAAAAGATAAAACAAAAAGTAGAGAATGGGGCATAATGAAACTGATAAATTCTCTCTGACTTTGTATTGTATGATCTTCTATACATTCTACTTTCCTTCTACTGATAGGTTCAGTCTGGAAAAATATGAGTCCTGAGGCCCTATTTATATGTCATGAGTGTTATCAATACTTGGATCATGTTTAGAAAAATGAATGAACTCAAAATGCGCTAAAATAAGCCCTCCCCGAAAATATTGCAACACAGCAGCAACCGTGAGGTGACCACACTCGCCACCTCCTGCA